AAGGCCAGCCGGAATCCTTGTTCAAGAAGACACTGTGCAAAAGCTGCTGTGAACATTGCAGCAAGAGAAAAAAACATACTAGCACACCCGTTCTCAATGAAGTAGCACAGTCCGTGACACTTCTAGTAACTAGTAGAATTAACTAGTTCTTACTGGAGAGGAAGGAAGACACTGAACTTCGTAAAAAAATTCCACTTCCTATTTGTCAGGCTGCCCTTAAACTATCCCATGTTCCCAAGAAACCTGCAACCTCAAAAAGAAAGTTTAAGCACCCCTACTCCTAATACCAATTCAGGAAGGGATTCGGTACTATTCACTTGAATAGCATTCAGTCAGTCAGGGAAACTGAAACAGTAACATATGTGAAACAGCTTGAGTCTTGAGGATGTGAACTATACAGAATTAGTTAACAGAATTTTTCTTTAAACCCACACACTCACCATAACATTCATTTAGTAAATCTGAATAAGAGCTATATTCAATAGCAACACAGTCTGCGTGTGAACATTTTGTGAAGAGAAGGACTAAATTCCATGAATCAATAATTTGTTTCAATTGTCCCAGTTCTGTTTACTATCTACACTGTATTTGATGTGTCTTATAAATGCCGGACATCCCCTATTTTAAATCTCTATATAATGCTCTGAGTGAACAAGGCCTGTCTACTTCAATTTCAAAAGAGAATTAAGCATCTCCAGAAGTGTCTTTGAGGCTAAGCTGGACCTTATTAGCTCTGTTGTCAGAAGCTCAGAAACAAAAATAACATCACCTAAATTTGAGACAAGATGACCTTCATTCAATATATCTCATATTTTACAAAACAACAGTATTTATATCATGTTGGTATCATATATAGTATAGTAGTTAACATTAGTGGAATCATGAAAAATAATTATTACCATTACAACGTCAATATGTTGATTTTTAGTACTGACAGTGATGCTTGAAATATCTACTGTTTACAACATCTGTTCTAGTTAAAGAGATTTGGTAAAATTTGCTAATCAACTGCAACCACTTCCCACCCATAAAACTGATGCAAAGAAGGGAAAAAACAGTTAGTGGGATCCAAAGACAAACACTTTTACTTATAACTCTTTACAGAGAAATCCCTCTCTCTCCATATGGTTTTTTCTTGGCTCTTAATCATCTTTTCATTGGCTTCCAGCTGGCTGTCTCACTATCATCTAGCAATATCACTAGCAAGACCAACTTGTTATGCCAAAGTCAAGCACAGAAAGATAAGAGCTGCAAAGTAGCAAGATGCAGCAACCTTTAATAGGGGCAAACGCAGCATAAATGATGCATGGCAGGGTCACTTCACTTGCCTCAGCAGAGCAACCACTGCTGCATTCCCAAAGCACAGCAGCAGATCTGCGCTTGCACTTTCTAGTAGTGGGAGTGAAAAACTACTACAATTGAAGCTACAGAGAAATTCTGCAGGCAGAAGTGTAATTACCTGAGTGGGAATTCTGGCAGAAAACCCAAACCTCTTTCCCTCCTTAAATAGAAAGAAATACTGTGCAGTCACCATGGAGAGATTACGTACAGCTTTTGGATCACATGCAGCACTGAAATACAACACACACAAAGAAGAGCCAGCCATGGATCTGGTTTAGCAAAGCACAACTGACAGTCTATTCTCCATTGGCTACAGCCACCCAGTCAGTGTGGCTCTCCTTCTTGCCATTTTTCCTTTCCCCATCTTACAAATATTAAGCTCTACGTCAAATCTCAGCCCCCACATAAAAGACCAGCTCTGCAAGCTGTTTAGCCTATCTGGGATGTACCTAGAACCTAACATGGAAGGCCCAGAGATGAAAACCCTGACAAATTCATCCACTACCATCCAAGTAATTTTTCAAATTGGGAATAGAAGAAAACCCCAGAGAAAGAAACATCATATAGTGCCTGTCTGTGAAAGTCTACTTGGATTATCCAAGCAGCCAGTCTTGGAAGTGCAGCAGCTCTTGCATGGTCTGTACGGGCTTAAACTTCAGTCGCAGAATTTCTCAGTTTTGGTCCAAGACCTCTGGTTTCCAATCACCTTATGCAGCTAAACCCACCTCCTCCTGTCTCCTCCATACTCCCTCCCTCTGCCCACTTCACAACCCAGCTCATTTTGTCTTCTGCCTCCAGGAGCCTCCAGACTCAGCCTCCGCTGTAGCCCCCCATCTCCTGGGGTGGATTTTTCCCCTCCCAACACATCTCTAGCAGGTACTTTTCCCCTCAGTTCTGCAGCAACACACCAGGGGAGAGTCACCAGAGCATAGGGAAGATGAGCACCCCTTTTCCCCCTTCACACACAGTATGTGCTGGAGTTTTCCAGAGTCCTTTTGGCTTCAAACTCTCCCCCAGATGGTAACTTGTGATCACTAATATTCAAGGCACTTCCAGTATAGCTGCCCAACTATTCATTTCTATTTTCAAAGAGAAATACTGCTGCTCAGAGCCCCTGAAAAATCCACCCTGATGCTTTCTATTGTTTGAAGTGGGTAGGAATGTTGTCAGACTAAAAGTGTCAGAAATTTGCCTCTCTCCAAATCAGCCAAGCTTTGTTTTGCTAATAACTTCAGCCAGCCTCCAAGCCTCAGGAGAGTGCTTTTTATCTGCATTCATGTCGAGCTGATGATGCTACATGGGAATCCTTCACTTACCGAGACCAACAAAGTGTTGCTGTGTATCAGGAATGCCATTCCACAGATAGTCCTTTTCTCACCTCTTTGCAGTAGCTCTCTAATCTAGCAGCATAAATAAGAGATAGCTGATAAGGTTGTAGGCAGAGAGATGTCCTGTCTCCCATTCAGTTTTCCTAATCATCCTGCAAGCCAAACAGCTTCAGATTTGGGAGTTTTGAAAACAACTCTCCTCATTTAAAAATATACATACATTTCAATTTCCTCTACAGAACACCACCAATATAGAAACAGCTGTTTATGATTTTGCAGTGATTTTCCCCTGGCATGCACATCCCTGTGACTGGCTTTTATTTTCATTCTCACAAGGCAAGGCAGAATGAGACCTGCACTTCTTTCCCCTTCCCACCATTACTAGCAGGGTGGATTTTTCTAACAGATCCTTTTTTTTCCTCCAGTTTCAATGTTGTGCTTCACATACGCTCTGTTCTCTGGGCTTTCTTAACGGGAAACATCCTATATTTGTATTTATGAAGTATTATCCTCTATTTTTCGAACATCCTGGTGTTTTGACTGTAGCAAAACTTGCTCATTTTTAACTTTATAATTGATGAAAAGCTGCTAAAATGAGAGGAAGATTTTTCTCTCGTCAATCAGCATCAGCATGAGAGCAGTCTGCTCATGAAAGCCTGTAGCTCTGATTGTTCAAAACATATTGTTCACCATGTCAGTTTAATCTTGTGCTTAAGATATTAAAATATCAGGCTCTAATGTACAAATCCTGTTGAGATCCACAAAGGTTCTTTTCATAAGAACGAATGAGGGCCATTGTTACATCCTGTGTACTCCTATTTCTTCACACTATCACTTATCTTTCTTTTTATTTGCCAGTAATTGGTTTGTAAAGCATAAATCATAAAGCTTACCTGGGTTTTGATTATGCTACAGCCTATGGCTTTATATTTAATAAATTTTTCTTTGATAACTGACACTGAGTTTCCATTTTATCACCTTATCTGCATTTGAAGGAATAAATAAAAATCCTTTTTTGTAAGGATTAAAATTTCACCTCTTACAATCAAATTTTAGAACTGCACCATCACAGCAAGTGTTTAATCAGAAATGCAAACAAGCAGCTCAGCCTGTACATCATGTTCCGCCATACATCAAGAAGCAATCACATTTCAGCATTATCACATACAACCTGCAAACATCTGCTAAAGAGAGAAAAAAAAAAAGAACAGCAACAACAACCACCAACCCACACAGTAGAAGGTTATTTGACTTGCATTCTGCGTGAATTCAAACTGGACACAAAAATCAGGGCCCTGTCAATTACGGGTGAAAAAAAAGAATATTTCTCTGAGGACACTTGTTTCTCAAGAGACAGTGGATGCACATTTTAGAGTTCCTTGCAGCTCCTGGATATGAGTGCAGGTAGATACAGTCATATACATGACTTCTGAGCTGGGTAGCAGTGCTAGCTACAACTTGGAAGGCATACAGTAAGCTTAAGACAATGCTTTACACAGTCAAATAAGGCACCCTGAGGCAGGGAAGACCACTTTTCATCTAACAGCCATGCAAATGAGTTTCTGCAGCTTTCCAACCAGAACAGCTGAGGGTTGGACTGAAGACAAGAGGAACATGTAGGGCTGCCTGCAACCACCCATCCAGAGTAATCTCTGAGGCAGCAGTCACTCTGCCTCAGTGTTGGGGTTCATTTGATTCTGAAAGTCCACCAGCCTTACTGTGTAAAAGACCAATTTATTTCTTCTAGCAGCTGATGATCTCAGCACAAGTGATCCAAGACATGATCTTCAACTGACAGCACTGCCTTAACATTTCTCTGCCACCTTTTATAACAACCTCCTGGAACTGTAAACCACAGCTGTTTTTTTCTTCTTTTAAATTTCCTACAGAGATCTTCTAGGGATGTAAACAGACTCAAACAGTAATCAAGACATTGTACAATGATCTCAAAGGATGCTTAAAAGATTTTTCCCTAGCTACAGACTGTCCCTGACTCCTGATGACATGTCCTCCCATATAAAAGCTTGCCTTGCTGCTTGGAATTCCAGATTCGGGGCTCATCTTTTCTAATAGCTAATGGTGCTGACGAATACTTAAGAAATCTAACCAGAGACTGAAATGTGGATTTTCTGTGACAATATCTTGTTAATGAAAAAAAAAAAAAAAATAATTAAAAAATGAAGGAAAAAAAGCTGGAGGTTCACAAACACCCCAAATGACCTGTGCAGATTTGCTGGTTTTAAACAAACATCCCAGCTGTGCAAAAGAAATACATTCCCTCTCAAACTCAGAGGAAGGTGCTTGGACAGAGACAATGATGTCTGTATGCCAAGACATATGAAGAAAACCTTATGTGATGTTATTTATTGTAGCAACAGGCCCTGGCAACAGTTAAGACTCTATGGTGATAACGGATAACCAAGCTTCCAAGGAAGAGGCTATGGTATTTCCACTCCCTGGACTTGCAGCAAGCAGAAGCATATGGTCACAATTTCACCATGGGCTGCAGTATTTCTAATGAGGCTGCTGTCATACAGCTGTCTTCTGAGGAGCTACAGAACAACCAGGAAGCCAAAAGCTAGGTACTGACTTCTTCCCAACAGACTCTGTTTATTAAAAGATGTCCTAGCACAAGTGCACAATGACATATACAATCATAGAATAGTTAAGGTTGGAAAGGACCTTAAGATCATCTAGTTCCAACCCCCCTGCCATGGGCAGGGACATCTCCCACTAAACCATCTCACCCAAGGCTCTGTCCAACCTGGCCTTGAACACCGCCAGGGATGAAGTTTGCTGAGTTGTGTTTAGGCTTGAGCCAACTCACACAGAAGAGATAAGAATATATCTAGGCTCTAGTCCTGCCTTCTTTGGAGGTTTAAAGCTGTTGTTTAGAAGGTGCACACCTTACCAAGCACCAATTTAAAGCTCAGTTTTAAATTTCTAACCAACGATCCACATACAGAAAGCACTTAAAGTACTGAAACAATACTCCAATATTCAACTGGGTTATAGACACATTTAGGCTTAAGGTCATTGCTTCCTTTCCAAAGTGTTCCAAGAGATCTTTCCTCACCATTGTTATCCACTTGTGACAGAACATGGATAAGTATCAGGAACACTTTTGTCTTCCACTTCACTTTGAACCTGCCAGTTTTATTCTAGATACCACCTCAAATGTTTAGAAGCTCAAGGAGCTTCTCATTTGTTTCTTCCACTTCACTCTGAACCTGCCAGTTTTATTCTAGATACCACCTCAAATGTTTAGAAGCCCAAGGAGCTTCTCATTTGTTTATTCATTTCCTTGTAGACTAAGAATGACAGCATTGGTGGAACAGAGACTATCCCAACACAGGATAGGGCAGCTTGGCCAACGGGCACTTCAAAGGATAGAGCCAGACCTGAAGACCAGACCAGTGAGGGGGACTACCCTGAGGAACTGCCAGAAAGATTTACATCATCTCAGAAAAGCAGCAATGCACAAAGCACAGGTAAACAATAGTTGAAGTTCATATCAGCTCCACAAATGGAGACGTAGGAGGAAATAATCTGGCAACTCTATTGCTACAACCAACACATCCAAAAACAAGTCATACTGCAGCAGCACAAGGACTGAGCTCTTACCACTGGTTTAAAGCCATGCAATAGTAGCAGACAGTATTTCCTAGCTGATGATTATGTTCTGCAGCATGACTCAACCCTACCAGAATAGGCAGGAGGGTAGATACTTTTCTTGGCAGATGCCTGGAACAGACCAAGAGAACAAACTCAGCCTTGCCTTCAGGGGTAGCCCTCTCTAAGTGCGATTACAGCACACTGGGAGGATGCATCGCCCACGCGGGGGCTCTCAGTCTCATGCTACAAGTCAAGTTTTTACAACATAACAGTCAATACAGTGACCCTGACTAGCATCAGGAACAGTAAATAAATACCACGTTTCTCCTTAACTTTGCAACCAAAAGTTGCAGGGCCAATTACCATATAGAGAAAACCGTAAAAACTCCAGAAATCATCATGATGATAAGCAAAGGTCTGCTAAGAATTTTTATTTTCCCCTTTAGGAACTAGCAAACACTTAAACCCAAACTTCTCTGCCTTAGGATACTGCTGTAGTAAGTATCCTAATGGAAAAGCAGCACTATCTTTGGAACATTTAAACCCTCTAATTTTGTAGTTTAACTCTTTTATTTTTCAAGTGCTAGGAACAGCTTACATTTCACAAACACACTAAATGAAAAATTTCCAGTGCTTGTTTACTCTTTGTAATAAACAAGGGTTGTAATAAAATATTTCAAATTAAACACAAAAACAACAATTACTCATGTTTGCTATTCATTAAAGAGGACTTAACTCCCAATGCCACAGAAGGACATGATGAAAGGATTTCATTTCATATTGAGCAGTTATTTACTTGCTCTGAAATGGTGTTTCATCTAATTTCAAGCTCCTTTTCCTCCCACTTGCTAAAAGGATAACTTCACAGGAGATTTCTAAACAGAAAAAGTTTTTGAAATCATGCTTCAATCTTCTGTTTCAAGAGAAAAACAAAACCTATACCATATCAAGTTATTGCAAATAATTTTTTCTGCTGGATTAATAGACTAGTAAACCAGTACAAATTCACATCACTTGTCAATGTTGCCCACTCATCATGCTTTTATTTATTATTTTTTTTTGCCAAGCTATGTTTTGCTGTATACTGGCTTCTGACATTTAAGTCTTCTGACTGACAGCTGAATCCTAGTGTGTTTTTAGTGACTGTCTCAGTTGTTTTAGGACAGATAATGGAGTCAGCTTCTACAAGGTGGTAGATGTTATGTATTTTGTTTTACAACTAAAATATAAGCCAACATTGTCATATTCACTCTGCTTACAAAGAGTGGCAGATGTCAAATAACTGCAATTTTGATTCGGTCCAAGCATTCTTCATACAAAAGCTCTAACTTCTGTCAATAGAGGTTGGGCAGATGGTAGAACTGTCAACTGAGGGTTGAAAAACCTGATGGGTCTTGGCAATAAAGTTGTTCTTTGTTTATTCATGTCTAATATGTGGAAATTAAACAGCAACTCAGAAGGGTTATCAAAATAATTTGATTTTTAGTCTCAAAAACTGTTTATAAATATATAATTAAGTGTTGGAATGCTTATGGTCAGACGGAAATGTAGTAATGCTGTAACAAAAAACAAACCACAAAAGCATATGAAAGTTTGGGTTCATTTAACAGAATGATCATAGTGATCTTTACAAGATGGCCCTTTAGTAGCTTGTGCTATCCTATCTCAGCCTGGCTTTCTCTGACAAGATCACAGAAGCCTTGAGAACTTGAACTGTAAAGACCTCCCTACATGGAGCTCCCACATCCTCTGTGGGAACATCTTCAAAAATTGACTTCACAGGCCTTCAGCATATGCTTCCCTATTTCCTGAATATGCCCCTCTGGGTGTAATAGACTAGAGTGAGAAAATGAACTAGGTGTCTGCACCATTCTTCAAGCCACTAAAAAGCTTACTGCAAATTTTAAGCAGTGAAGAGAGACTTGAGCAAGCCTTCTCCACTGGACATTCTCAGTGTGTAGCCTCTTAAATAAAAACTCTGGCATTGGAAACACATCACAAAGCTCTGTTTGAATGCCAGGTGCTCTACAAGTTTTAAGGTTTCCATCTTTTAAAGATGCATTGTCCATCAGTGAGTTCATCAGTAAATCATGGCCCTTACAGGAAACAGAGAGGCAAAAACCATCATTCTTGAAGATGTGAGGATGCAGGGAATAATCAAGACCCAAAGTACCACTGCCAGGACTGGAGAAGTGCAAGAAAACAAGGTAAATGTCACTATATGGGACAGGACCCCTGTTACAGCTCTGACCCTGCTGTGAGCACCCCAAGATTCAGTTTCTGAACATGCAGAGCATCCAAGCATATCCCCTCTAAGACTAGAAGCAAGTTGTTACACAAAGAACTGCGTTATGGGGACGCTAATATAAAAGAAGCTGGCAGCAGTTTTCAGTTGTTTACAGCTCCTGGGCTTGTTTCAAATGGGGACAAAGGAGGCAGCAACAGTACTAAAAACTTGCTCTTTTAAAAGCTCACTGGAAGTTGCATGCCACAAACTTAGAAACAAGTCCATGAAACAAGAAGAAACACTGCTGTTAGCTTATAATGAAACTTAAAACCTAAGACCTCAGAAATCCTAAGTATTTGCACTTCTGAGAAATCTACAATTCACATTTAATCTCAGACTAAAAAATTACAAAATGGATTTAAAAAAAAAATTACAGAACTAGTGTTTGAGAAAGAAGCTACTCTCCATCTTCTTTTAATTCTGAATGATAACCTGAGGCTTAGTTTGTCTTCCAAACTCAAGGTTATTCTTTTGTTGTGAAGCGTTGTGTTATGATCAGATGTCTCTTCCAGATAGGAATTTGAGGGAGGGAGAAGGTCTGCAGGGAGTGTGTAAGAAGTTCAACACATTTATGGATATGTTGTCCAAAGCATGTCCAAAGCATGATCACTGCTTGAACACAAGAACAACTCAAGCGTAAACCAAGAATAATTTTTGGTAGCTTTGTCACTTGAGACAAGCCATTCACATATCTCTAACCTCAGCCACTTACATTACTGAAGATTAAACAGAAAAATTTGTATGAAGGGCTAAACAAGCAAGTGCCACCTTACAGTCCGGCCACTGGTGCTGCATGATACATTTCCAGCACTTTGGAAAATGGGGATTGAGGGTCTCCGAGTACAGCTTTTCCACAGCTTTAACTTACTTCCCTCTGACAGATTTTTGATATCTGAGAGGATTATCTCCTTCGTGGCTAAATTTAGGTAACATACTGCAGGCACGGTTTTGTATCTTTCCCCCTTCATAAAATAGGCAAGTATCTGTTCTTTTTTTTCCTCCTGTATTAAAAAAGCTGTCTGGTATTAAATTACACATACTCTTTTATTGACAGAAACTCAGTCTGTGCTATTTCTCCTTGGAGAATTTCCATCTTCCCAGTATGAGGAAGGCACTTCTTTTTTTCCCCTTTTTAAAATCAGTACAGCTTTTAAAAATGAACCTCATACTTTTCACTAACAAAGCCAACTTTTCCAAGTGGTATTTTACATTTGAGCTGGGCCTGCTTCTGGGTAACCTACAAGTGAAAACTTAAATCTGTCACTAGCTGTTAACTATTAGGTCTACCTTAGTAGCAATAGAAAACTTGGCCTGTGCTACCTCCTGTAAGAATAGTTTATTCCATTAGAGCTCAAATCCAGCAGATTAACTATGAATAGAGAGACTAAACTGAACAGAGACACACTAGAAAAGATTTATCACCCAGACATGTTCCAAATTACAACATGCAGCTCTGGATTTTGGGCATTAACACATGCGTAAATTCACATCTGAAATTTTGGAACTGACCAGGAATAGGCATGAATAGCTTTATTCTAAACTCTGGTCTAGCACTAACTTCAATGAAGAAATGAGCTCACAGACGTCACATCACCATGAAAGGCAAGTACAACCAAGTTTGAGATTATTTTTACAATAATATTTCAGACAGATATCCGCACAAGAGCTTTCCTTTCATGAGTATAGCTCTGTCTGTGTAAGTATCTGCACCCCTTAAGCCATGACGGCATTACCTGTCTTCCCTGGATTTCCTGCCATTGTCAACACTGTGAAACAGCTATGCTGGAGGCCTTTAGTCTTCTGACCATCCCTCACTTTCTACTGAAAAAGTGGACTCCTAGCAGTACATGTTAAGATACCTTGCTATACCTGCTTCCAAGTGTTACTGCCTTAAAGAAGCAGTACTTTTCAGAACAACATTTTATGGTTCTAGCATAATAAAGCTAAGGAAGAGCCATACATGCCACAGGATAAACCATCCCCTCCAATTTTAACAGTGGCCCTTACTAAAAATGCCAGCAAAGCCAGAGCTTCCACCTAAGATTACACAGAATCACGGAAGATCTCAAGTTGGGAGGGACACATAAGGATTATGAAGTCCAGCTCCCTGCTCCTCAGAGGGCTACCTAAAACTAAACCACATGACTAAAAGCATCATTCAGATGCTCCTTGAACTCTGACAGGCTTGGTGCCATGACTGTTTCCCTGAGGAGTCTGTTCCAGTGACTGATGTCTCAGTGAAGAATTGTTTCCAAATGTCAAAAAAATCATAACTGATGTTAAATATGAAAGTGTTTAATCCTCACCCCTCAAGAGTTACATTGAGCTCTTGAGGGTGCTTATTTAATTAATAAACACCCCTACTCCCAAGAAGTGGCAGGAGTTGAATTATAGGTAGCACTGAACACTTCAGTTCACTAGTGAACCAGCAGCTATAGTGTATCTGCGGGTACCTATTTTCAAAGCCTAGCTTTAAAGGCACTCGTATGTGTGCAAGGGCAAGCAAAAGGACCAAAACCTGTAGTTTTAAACTGTCTATGGGAATTTTATCCACTTCTGAGTTACCATTTACAAGGGATGCACACAGATTATTATTTTAGCATTTCTATTGCTGTCAACTTTCAGTGTGGGTTCGTCAAAGCTATGAGGACTCCTGACCTCCAAAAATTGTTTAGCCCAAAGGTAAGTTCTTTTCTCAGTTTATATAGACAAAGAACAACCTGGAAAGCAACCTGCTTGCTGAATATTCTCTTTAGTTTGGACATATTGGGAAGAATCTTCCATTAATCTCTTCTCATGCAGTCCACAGTTTATCTTGAATAAGGAATGACATGCTCAGTACGCAACACCTCTCCACTTCAGGCTTTCGCTAGAATGGCCTTTGTCATTAGGTAGAAGAGTTTTTCTTTCTTTTTCCCCTACTGAAAACGTCTTTTGTTTCATTTTTATGATGACTGAACATTGCTTTGTTCAGATTTTTGTGTCATCTGCATTCAAAATGTCTCCTTTGTATATCAGTTTTCTTCTTACTGATTCATGCTCCACCTTCATCTCACTAAATGAATCATCTTCTATACTATTTGCAGCACTTAACACTGCTGGCAGTGAGGCCTGACTTCTAGAGTTATTTATGGCAATAAAAGTCTGGAGAGGAGATAACTCAGGAAACTTATAACAGGATAGGGATTATTTCAACCCTAGGTCTTTGGTGTGGGTTTATCACTGCTAGAACGGTTTATCATACGGAAACCAGCAGAATTCAGCCTCCTGGCTGATCACCACATCTTTCCAGAAGTAAGTTCTACCCTCAGCAGCAGAGCTCTAAGACTGAGCTGCTAACTTGTATGCAGCAGAGGCCAGCAGTATTATGGTTACAAAGCCCTAACAAAACCATTCTTAGATCTCTTCAGTAGTAAAAGTAACTTCCCTAAATAATTACGGCTTCATTACCAAATCCCCACATCTGCTGGGTGTACAGCAACGCTGCAAGCATACAGACAGATCTCTCAGCAGAACAGGAGAATTCTCAGTGTAGCCAACGCTCACTCACAGAAAGCACTCAGGCTATTAGCACTTCATTATTTCTAGGCTTTCGTTGGTAGAGTCCATCACCTCCAAGTATTAAAAAAAAAAAAAAGCAGAAGGCAATCAGCAAAGTGCTACCCCAACATCAAAATATACTTTGCTGAAAGCTTTTAATATCTGTACAGAGACACCTGGAAAAGACACTGAAGAAACCACCAGCTAGGCTGGAAAAAAAATCATTTGGAAACAAGGAAGTAGGTGATTCTACAATGAAGGACATGAAAATTCTGCTGAAAGCAAGATAAAAAAATCCAGGTCATTAGTTCTGCTGTGTATTATCCACTACTCACTTTATCACCAAACCCCTCTATTTTCTATAAATCAAGCAAACGCAGGCAGTTAATAAACAACCTGCTACCAAAACCTAATTAGTGACAACACAGTGGGTCCTACATTCATCTCCAAGATGTTAGAGGTCCAGGTTTATTTTTGCTGAAAGCCTGAGATATTACTCTAAACATATGCATAAGAGGCAATTTCTGGGTAAGTCTTGTTTTCCCTATAGCAAAAGATGCATCTTCCACAGATGCCAGTGTAAATTGACTAAATTCAGTGCTGACTGGAATAACATCCTGATCACATTTGGGTAGAAAGACAGAAAGAACTGCTGCATGTGTTTGACACATACCTACTTCCCTCATTACACAGCATCGCTGGTTTTGTTGTTTTCTTCTAGGCTAGGGAAGAGGAATTGAAGAAAATGCCACACGACATCACATATTTTTGCAGTAACTGCCCACCAAACTACAGGGAAACAGACTGAAACTGACTGCCCAAGTTTCGAAAGTCAAGGAAATACAGACATCCCCCTCAGCCCTCACCTTTAGATGGTAAACCAGGGATACTGCTGAAGGAAACAACTGCAGTAGAAGCCACAAACAATTATACCGAGAACTCTGTCATTGTGTCTGATAACTTACAGCTGCATGGATGAAAGAATTTGGATCTAAGCTGTCTTGCAAAAATGAAGAAATCCTCTGCTCCCTGCAGCTGTCTTTATTGGAGTGTAAGTGATTTACCATGAGGCACAGCTGAGTCTCACTGCTACCTGTATCACCTGGAAAAACTGTATCAAGCCTTAATTACTGCAGACCAATTGAAAGTAAAAGAACAAATGAGTCAGGAAGAAGCAAATTAGTAACTAGTCAGTCACTAAGTTTGAGCACATACAAGTTATCATGATTCTATCAGATTTACTATTATTATTATTAGATTTAGCTCAATTCTTGGATGGCTCCATGAAAATATTCCCTTCCCCTAGGGAACAGGGGGTTTTGGAAAGACACATGGGAAGACACAAAACAAGGAGTGTATAAAGGAGAAAGGGGTGACCATCAGGGCTTTGGACCAGTAGAACATGATGAGACCCTAAGAATAAGAACAAAGACTAACTTATCATGCCAAGCAAGTGGCAAAGAGGTGACAGCTTCATGTAATAAGGTGACAACAGGCCCCAAGAACATCTATTTCATAAGCATTGAGCATAAAAAGGAAGGATAGAACAAGTACTGAAATTACAGTGAAGAAAATAGCTAATGGGCTGAGATATACAAAGCACAGGGGAATTGTCCACAAGGAAGGAGATAGCTGCTTCTATTGCAGAGTGATGTGTTTGGCCAGTCTTTTGATTTTGGAATCCCCAAAGCCCTACCTCCAGTGTGCACACAACCTTTACTACAGCCAGCTCTTCAACAGGCAAAGCAATTGTGCCATTCTCACTCTCCCTGCTACTGGCCCTGCTACCCCCTTCTGGTCCATCCCTAAACACATCCATCACCACTTCCATTTGGACTACTGCTTCTACCCACTGCCCACCCTCATCAATCCAATGCCACACTCACCTCTGGTGGCAGCATAGGACCACTATTCTTTTAAATCACAGACCAAATACTACAAAACAGATGAAAAAGAAGCCCTTATTTTTACAGTCTCATAGTAACTTTCCCTATCACTTCAATAAGAAAAAAGTTTTCCTGCTTTTTCTTATTTTGCCAGACTTGTACTAAATCACTAAGGAGAGGAGCAAGAGCTCATTTCATTTCCTGAGCAGCTGGGATCCCACTTGAGGACCTGAATAAGACAGTCCACCAGGAAGAACCTCTTCTACATCAGCTCCAGGCCTAGCCAGAACAGCAGGTTTTGTGGGAAGGAGAAAGACCCACAGGAAAAAGATTAAAAAAAAAAATAAAATATATGAAATGGAGAAACCTTACTCAGCTAATTCAAAATTATCCACAACCTGACATTCTCACACCACAGTTAACCCAGGCTGTTCACTAATTTTGGCCTGTTAGGTACTCCAAGGCAAGGCTACCTGGCCAGGCTTGGAATACAAGCTGGGGGGTGTGTTTGCATACAGACTGTTCCACCAAGTTAGAGTAATTGGGCAGCCCTTGCAGTGAAGTTACTCAAGTACTAATAGCCTCCCAGTGTCTTCCCACAGTTTCAGAAGGACAAACGACAGTCTGTCTGCAGCAAATGCCATTTCTTCCACTACTTCCTGGGTGAGGAATTTAGCTCCCTGAACAACAAAGCCCAGTGAGATCCTACATTACAGAAAGAGGAGCACAGCATCAGGCAAGGTGCCTTTTTGTAATACGAACACTCATGTGCTTTCTTCTGTCTGGCTCATCAATGTCTCAGATGTAATTGTTAGTCTCTCAAATCAAGTTTGCAGCAAAGATACCCTGAAAAAAGCAAGAAACGAGGGCCTTTGCAAATGGCATTACTAATTGCAGTCTACTTAGAAAGACTTCCTAGAATCAAAGATTTGAGATGAAGCTGTGGCACTGCATCGTTCAAATTCTGAGCTGAAAAGTGATGCTGTTTACCTTGTCAGCTCTACCCTGGGAGGACACAGCCTTGTTTCAGAAGTGAAACACTCAATTCTGCCTTCTGAACATATCTGAGAGTTTAAACCCAGAGCAGGTGTTTTTCCATGTCCACCTCAGGGGGTAGGGTGGGTATGAAAGGGAGGTAGCCTGGTATAGGCTTTATCAAGGGATTGTTACGTTGTCTGGCTGACCCTGTTAGGCCAGCAGGAATAACATTCTGAGTCTTTCTAGGATGCCTGTTGGAAGAGGCTGAACACTGTATAAGCAGTGGAAGTCAATCTCAGGAAAAATGCATGGGTTTTATCTTATACAATGTTCACAACAACTTTAATTATTGCCTCTGTTAGGAGGATCTGCTGAAACCCACAATTTCATGGGCTTTGGCACAATAAGTTTCTGGAGCCTTTTCCTGCACTGGAAGATACAAACTCATGGTTAGGCACACAGATTAAATCTTTCCTGAACTTGGAAATAATTTAAAAATAAAGATCAGATCTCTCTGCTGAGTTAACTAATGTCTGTATTACTAACAAGAGAAGCAATTAAAGCCTGCATTACTGAATTGTGTATTTGTCTGAACACTGATCTAAGCCTCACTGAAAACTGTCCATGTCTCTACTGTCTTCAGTGGATGCTGGCCTTGTCTCTTGATGTATAAGAGAATGGCAAAGTAGGGAGAACAAAACTATGTTTCCAAGCAAAGGAACAACCTGCTCTTTTGACAGAGTTCAGAGGAACAGTATGAAATTACACTGTGATATAGGCGACCAGTGCAAGGCTCCTAGCCATGGCTAACTGCTTGTACAAAAAGCAGGGCAGTGAAGTAGGTGTCTGCTTTCAAAAAGCCTTCAAGTATTTAATGTTATTCTGTTTGATTGCTAGGTCTCTTACCACAGTTCAGCAGTGCCAGTGACCAAACTCTACTGACTTGTATCACAGCCACATTTGCACTAATCCCTGTCCCTTGACAGATCTGAAAAAGGCAACAGGTAGGCAGTAGTAGGAGCTGGCAGCACCATAGCAACTATGTAAGGGAGCACTAAGCTCCCACCTGCTTTCTGCTTGCTATGAATGGAGGGAAAGGTACACACAAGCCTCCTCAAACACTTAGAACCATCATGGACCTATTTCCATAGGAGTGGTTTGTCTGAATTTGCTCCTTGGAGTTTTGCCAGAGGGCAGCCACTTTCTGAAACTGAATTTGAACTGGCTGAGCAACCAGGTGAACAGAGCCAAAGCTACAGCCATTTGAGTGTGACAAGCATTGGGATCACTGCTGCTCAGGTTATCTGCAAGCTAGAGGATTCCTACCTTTGTCATTCAGGGACTTCTCATCCTTTGTTCTAAACTCCAGGGAAGTGGCCACAGCACCAAACCTGTCAGAGTTCAAGGAATGTCTGGACGATGCTCTTCATCATATGGCTTAGTTGTAGGCAGTCCTGCAAGGAGCAGGGAGTTGACTTGATGATCGTTATGAGTCCCTTCCAATTTGAGGTAATTCTATGATTTGATGCCTTTGTGAGAGGCTGTGAGCCCTTGCCTCAGGTAATATGTGGGGTGAGGCCTTTTGAAGCCTCCTGCTCACATGATTAAGAAATGGTCAGTGTACAGTGCTATAACACCTAGTTGAACTCTGCTGAGCTTGGGGCTCTCTGCAACTTGCCTGCTGCTCCTGCCTTTCCCTGCCACAGGGATTTTCTCTGGTGTTTTACCGGAGTTCCAGCATGAAACATGCAAGGCCTGTGCACTGGCACTCATTCTGGTGAGCCATTATACACAGGTTGGTGGCCTCACCAGGCCCCATCTCTCTCGGGTGCAATTCATTCAGCTATTCCCAGGCACAGCTTCTCCATCCTCAATCCCCCGAGCCCCAGGCTCTTCCTGGTCCCGCAGGGCACCTTCTCTCTCGCCTGCCGGGTGTAGCTCCGGGCAACCGGCAATCCCTGGCAGACACCCCCGACCTGCCGCAGCAGCGGCCGAGCGCAGTCCTGGCCCGGGAGCAGCAGCGAGCTCTGGGCCCGGCCTCGGCTGACCCTTCTCCTTCACCCCAGCAGGTGTCACCCTGACCCGAGGAACGCACTGCTCCATCCCCCCGGTCCCGGGCTCCTCCCGGGTTCTCCTCAGGCTTCCTCTTCAGGTCTTCCCCCGCCCCAGGTACCCCCGGCCCGTGGCGGGGGTCACCGGCCGCTCCAGGCTCCAGGGGTTGGGCCGCAAGCTCCGGCTCTCCTGCTCCGACACTGCCGGGAGGGGTGGGGGGTGAAGTGTTTATTTCCGCCCATGTATTTCCAGGAGTTTTTGAACTGGAAGGGAGAATATACCGTGCATGCAATATTTATGTCATCGTCTCTTTAGTGACAGTTTCCTAAGATACTTAGCTAAAAGCAAGATGAGAACAACTATTCGTTCATGCTGTCACTAGGAAGAAAACAAGGGGAAAAAAATAGAGTTCCAGGAACACAGACAAGTTAAAGGGAAGGAAGATTATTGTCGTGGTTTAAACCCAGTCAGGTAACTCGTTCACTCACTCCCCCCTTTCTTTCCCTCCCCCTACTCCCGGAGGGACAGAGAGGAGAATCGAAAAGAACGCAACTCCCACGGGCTGAGATAAGAACAGTTTAGTAACTAAGGTATAACACAAATCACTACTGCTACCACCAATAATAACAATGATAAAGGAAATAACAAGGGAAGAGAATACAACACCTCGCCACCAGCCGACCAATAACTCACACCCCCCCCCCCCCCCCCCCAGCCCAACCAAGCTCTGAAAAATACCTCCTCCAACCCTGCAGTCTCCCAGCCCTTCCAGCTAACTCCCAGTTACATCCTGGGCATGACGTGCTGTGGTATGGAATACCTCTTTGGTCAGTTCGGGTCAGGTGTCCTGTCTCTGCTTCCTCCCGGCTTCCCCTCCTCCCTGGCAGAGCATGAGGCTCACAAAGTCCTTGGCCAAACCAAAACATCATTGTTATCAGCTCTGTTCCCAGGCCGAAAGTCAAAACACAGCACTGCACCAGCTACCAAGAAGGAGAAAAATGACTGCTACTGATGAACCCAGGACAATTATGCATATCCTATCAGTTTGCTTTTTCTCTTACTACAAAGATAACTCTGCC